GGATTGATCAATTAGGTCAGAACTGTATCAGACTGTAAGGGTTAGGAGCTTCTTAATAAGTATAATATATGAAATAGAGAATAAAGCAACTGCTCAGCCTTCAGCAATCATGGAGTCAATGCTAATTATTACCTGGCTGGGAGCCTGCAGTGACACCTATGGTGTGGAAAAAAGAAAAAGCCCAACCCACACACCTCTGCTGAGATGTCTGCTCTCCTCTAAAAACCATCAGAGGAGTGCAGCCACCTGCAGTACCTTGATGGATTGAACTCCCACTAACAACTGCAACTGAATCTGCAGCACTGATTCCTCACAAGGCACTTGAGACCAGACTGGGGTTTTTGAACATTGCTTTTTGCAGGGTTTTGAAGTTTTTCTGAAGTCTAGAGCACAGACTTCAAATACTGCACTTGTGTTCACTAAATGCTACAATACCCTGGCTGTACACAGCACGCTGAAGTTGTAGTAAGATATTCTCACAGGTGCACTTTACAAAAGTGAAGAGTTATTTATTGATTTAGCATCTCTGAACTGCCTGATATGCTGAGCTTCAATGCCACAGCAAAGGGCAGAGCTCCCCACACTATGCCTGCCTCATGACAGAGTACAGCTTTTCTTAACTGGCAAAATTTACATGCCAAAAAATAAGAGACAAATCCTCAAAGTAATTTTAGAGGAAAAAAATTACATGTGGGGTGGTGCTGAAAAAACAGCATATTTTTTGCATGTCTGTTTTTTAATACACATTTCCTTTTTTAATACACAGATGTGGATGAAACAACTTTCTATATACCAATTCTCAAGACTTGAAGGAAAAAAAAAAAGAACTTTAACTCGACAATGGAGTTACATTTAAGGCATCTGTATCCCATCTAAAGAGCCAGTTTGTTTTTCAGTGTATAAATGCAAGAAGAAACCCAAATGAACTGTCTCATTTGCTGCTGTTTCTAATAAATGAAATACCCAGAACATCCCTGCTTTCGTTGCACCAGAGTATTTTGATCACTAGGCTAATATACTCAATAGTGTACTCCAAGCTGTACTATGTCTTAATTAGTCAGGAAAAGGAGTGGCTGACTCTCATTTCCAGAAGATCCTTAAGATTAAAAAAGAGTACACAGCACCACATCTCAGTTTGTATTCAGCTTGACTTCTTAGCTTTTTCCTGCCTGCTTCACAAAAGAGGAGATTTTCTGTCAAAAAGTTTTTCTGTCAATGCCTAGTAACTAAAAGAATAAAATACCTGCACCAAATTTAATACATCTCCCCCAGGAAGCATCAATCTAAATATGTGACTACATTGTTCAGAGACATTTTCTGCTCTAGCAGCCAGAGTTAGAGTCCCTTCTCTTCTCCTAATGACTCAACACAGTCTTTTCACAACCGCCATCTCAAGCAGAACAGAATGAGCTGAGCACACGAGGAACAGTAATTTCAAAAAGAAATAATCACTACATATGTCATAATAAATAGCTCTACTTACATGCAGTGGCCTTAAGATTGTCAAAAGCATCTCAGATCAAAAAGCTGTAAAGCTGAATTACACAATCAGACCTGGGGCTCTTAAAATGAAAGTGCCTGTTTGATGGTGACTGACAGGCTTACAATCAAGGGTTCACATCTCTTATAAAACAATTATTTGGCCTCATGCAGTTTGTATTATATTAGGCAGGAAGGGAAGTGAAGAGCCTTCAAGTTGGAAACCTAATTATTAATTTCTTGCTATTTTTAAGGGTAAAACAAGGTTCTGATTTCTGAAGAAGGAGGCCCTGACAAGGCACCTTGCTGTCTGTGCCTTCAGTTATCCGAAAAACCCATTTGGCTACAGATGAAATAATAGAAAGTGCTTTCTCTCCAAATACAGTTTACAGGGATTGCTTCCTGCCAGTCGTTTTCTTTTAAATAACCTAATTATTATCAAAAGCCTGTTTGAAAAGCACAAACAGCATCCAGGCTCCTGGCCCTGCACTGCTCAGGAGCACAGCACTGAGAGGCTGAGTGCCTTTTCCCACTGGCAATTCTCTGGCATTTGTTGTTTCACTCTCCTTTGTGCTTTTGAATCACCCTCCAACCATCCCCTTCCACAAGGCTGCATTAGATCCTTTGCTTCAATGCTGCCTCAACATTTCTTGGGCACATTTACTCCTGTTACAAAGACAAGCAGAAGGAGGTGGGAAGAACATTTGCTCTTCAGACAACTTCATTTCCTCAAACACACACCATGAGCTCCAGTTATGAACACATGAAGGGCTTACCCATACATGGAAATGACTGCTGTCCTCAGGTGCTCTCCAGAATCTCTGTTTGCATCTAAATGTAGCCAGAATCCAGGGAGAAAAAGCTTCACACACAGTCCCTGCCTACCAAAGGAAACTGTCTCCCTACTCAAAGAGGAAACTCTCCACATTCCTCAGGGGATGCTAATCCAAACAACAATGCACACTTGGGGAGATCTGACACGTTGATTCCAGCTTGGCTACAAGGAGACAAGTAGTTCTGGGTGTCGCACAACTCCTGCAGAATCCATCCTCACTCAACAGCAGAATCTCTGCAGAACACATGTGAGCTGATTCCCTGCCTGCTGCTGGTCAGTAAGGATCCTGTGTGCCCCTGAGCAGGCCTTGCTGCTGCCCTGAGGCAGTGATGGATGTGTGTGGCAGCTCCCACTGCCAGCCCACAGCCCTGTGCCACAACCCTTCTGCAAAGTGCTGGCAGTGCATAAACGAGGCAGAGATAACCCTGCACAGCCCAAGGAGCCTTAAAGAAGCTCTAACTCATGATACCACCTGCAAGTCAGAAAATAGTTTCTACTGTCCAAGTGCAAAAAAAAAAAGTCATCTATTACAGCGACCTGAGGAGGTCTCCATGGTGAGAGAAGGACGAGAATCTTGTTTCTTGATCAGAAGGCTGGATTTATTGATATATGATATATGATACATTATAACTATCCTAAAAAGAATAAAGAGAGAAGTTGCAGAGAGCTGCTAAGCTAAGAATAGAATAGAAAGAAAAAATAACAAAGTTCTGTGTCCAGGGAATCTGTCCCTGAGCTGCTCCTGTGATTGGCCCCCAATGGTACACATGGAAGATGAGCCAATCACAGGATCACCTGCTACATTTCACAGCAGCCGATAACAATTGTTTACATTCTTCTTCTGGGGCCCTTTGCTTCCCAGAAGATGCACAAATCCCAAAGAAAGGATTTCTATGAAGAAATGTCTGTGACAGTCATCTTTGCACAACCAGAGGTCTTGTGGAATCTGAAACCCCCACAGTGCTGTAGGGCTACAGAGAGCAGGGAATGACAGCCTGATCCTAGAGTTTAAACTGCCTTGCCAACCTCACCACAGCTCCACTGACAACACACGTTAACAACCAGCATCGTGGTTGTAGCAACACCCATGGAGGATGCTGTGCCTTCCTCACACCAATTACAGCTACTCCTGAAGAAAAGAGATCTTCAGTATCTCTCTGAAGGCTGAGTTCAAAATCTACTCATGATAATGATTCATGTGGTAAAAAAACCCCATCAAAATAACCCCACAACCACAGAACAACCCAAATCAAAAAAAAAACTAAACAAAAGCCATGAGAACCTAATGGTCAAACTTCAGAGCAAGTTTGCAAGGATTGTTTTATTTTCATGTCAATTTCAAAGCTGCGTTACCATTAGTTAAAGTTGGCTCTGTGGTTGCCACAGGTCATGCAATATAGCAGTAACAAAGAGAAATGAGGGCAGCATGGCTCTACAGGGAGATTTTCTACCTCTACAAGCCATATTAAGACAGATGTGGATGAAACAAACTTGTGTGCAGAGAGCAGCTGCATTATCCCATAAAAACAGGAATATCCTATGGCTTACTAAAAAGAGACACAGGCCATTTGTCTGCTGATCTAACAAGCAAAATCCTCTTCTGAGCTCATGGATATTTATTAATCTGGTTCTGAGGGTTCACAACCAAGTTTTCACAGCTTAGCTAGGGCACATCTGCTGACCACACATACTCAGCCTGAAGGAAGGGCACAAGCAAAACATCCTCACTCAAGTCCTGTGGAATAGGTTTAAAACAATGCAGTTTAACGTCATTTTTGCAACAGTCTCTAAGGTTGCAAGTAGGGAGGTACTACAGATCAGTTCACGCTGAATCTCAAGAAGTTACTGCATAAAACAATGATGTGGAACTCTGAAACCAGGCTGAAAGAATCCAAATTCCAAATCCCATGTGACAGAGACATTCTGGTGTTTCATAGCAGCCTGTAATCTCTTCTCTGAAGAGATTGAAGTGTCTGCAGGCTGCACAGTGAATAACTACACGAGTAAAAAAGTTCCTGCCCTTAGCTCTTCCTAATTCCTGCTAGAAGTGCCCACAGCTCACTCGTGCAGCCGGTTGCAGCCTCCTGGCCAAACAGACCAGAGCAGCACAAACTGCTCCTTTTCACCTTTTGCTCCATCGGGCACATCCAGGCGGCTCAAAGGAACAGCTCCACCTGCGGATCAGATGGAGCACATCCCTCGGGCAGCCCAGCAGTGACGAGCATCTGGGAGCAGCATGATCTTCCATCGGCACAGCTGGATCCAGAGACCGACATCAGCCCACCTCACTCAGCCACCAAAATAGCCTCACTGACTATTGAAAAATGAAGGTGCTTTTTCCCCTCAGCACATGTGCTTCGCACAGCTTTGTGGACACATAGCTCAAAAGGTTACCAAAATACTTTTTAAGGACTTGTTTGAAGAAAACAGTAATAATTTGATAGCCAATTGTGCTTTCTGAGGATCTCATTTATGTTTTCCAGACTCGAGAGACTTGCCAGTACTGTCAACACCAATAGCTAACTACAGTCTTCAAGGAGAACGAAGAGGAAGAACTGACGTTTAACACAATCAGTTCTGAAGGAGAGATGAAGAACCACTATACAGTATTTTTATATCGGGTATCAAGAGCTATTGCAGCCTGGCACACGGCCAGGTTGTGGAGCATCACAGCATTTAATATTACCTTCGGTGAAGATCTCCGCACATCAAAGTCCCCCAGTCACCGACACACAACAGTATTTCGAGCCCATAATCCGTGCTAGGATCGCAGCTCGGCTGCGGGAGCACCACCTCCCTCCAGGAGCCCGCAGCTATTTGAGGAGAACGCAGCAGGAACTTCATCAAGCAGCACGTGAAGCCCATGTTTACCTCGGGATGTCTCCAGAGGCACAGCCTGGCCGTCAGAAAGCACCGCCTGAATCGCCAGGCTCCCCCTTTTCCCGTCAGTGATTTGGTAGAAACGATGCGCATGTTGCACTTGACGATCTTGGAGGTCTCTTCCAACCTTAATGACGCCGCGATTCGGATACCCACGGGCGCGTCGGGACGGGGCGAATTTATACGCGATGGAATGGGAGGAATGAGGCGCCCAGAGGCAGCATCGCCCCGAAATTAGGGTTTGGGGCTTTAAACACCTCGTTCCTCTCAGGCAGCGGTCACCC